TATATATATATATATATATAATTTATTATAAATTTTAACTATATATAATAAATATTTACTTTGTAAAACGGACATCCTAAAATATTGGTTGGATATAAATTGTGTATGCAAAAAATGCATATCCATTTTATTAAAGTTATAGATAATATATGTATAGATTTCTAGAATAAATTTTAATATTTTAATTTTCTAACAACTAATTAAAAATAACATTATATTATAATATAATTTTTTATTATTAATCTAAAATATAATTAATGTGAGACCCTTAGTTGACCACACTCCCCCTCCCAACTCTCACTCTAACTCTCCCTTTCACTCTCTTTTCTCCCTCCATTCTCATTTTGGCTGATTTCACTTTGGTTTCTTGGATTCAAGGTGGTGGTGTGGAGTGATTAAGGTTGCTAGCTGAACATTTGGGGGTTCCTCTTCTTCTCCAACTCTTCTCTCTTCTCCGTTCCTCAATCGTCTCTTCCCGGAAGCTCGGATTTCTTCACCGAGGTAAGGGAAGTTAGTATTTTGAGCAGGCACTGGGCGCAATTTGGAATTACGCCGGGCGCGGGAGAGCCTTGGTGCTCTCGGGTTGAGTCTTGCTGGGCGCGAGTACTCCTGCGCTGGACGCGCTGGCCCTGGTGCTCTCGGGTTAAGCCGTGCTGGGCGCGACCTCGAGTGCGCCGGGCGCGAAAGGAGATGATGACATATATGATGTAGGCTGTTGAATTGTGCAGAGATTGTAAATCAATGACGTTATATGCTGAACCAAGTTGTATTTGATGAATATGCTGTGAGGACTAGGGGATAAAGTTGAGATAAATACGTTTTGCTGTATTAGAGGTGTATTGTTGGGCTGGAATCGATGGATTAATACGTAAAATTCTATAGCATAGCGGAATTATAGACTGTTGGGCTGAATTGTGGAAAATAATAATTGTGTGGAATCACTATGCTGTGTTATGATGTGCTGTGCTGTGCTGTGTTGTGCTGTGCTATGCTGAGTTGCGTGATATTATAGCCGCTAAGTCGGTGTTGTTATGAGCCACATATGTGGTGCTGTTCTAACCGCTAAGGCGGTGCTGTTGTTGCCGCTTTGCGGTGCCGTTATAGCCACTTGAGTGGTGTTGTTGTTGCTGCTAAGCAGTGTTGATACTGCCGCATTGCGGTGCTGATATTGTTGAGTGGTATAAGCTGTACAAGTGTGCTTATAACTGTATCTGTTGTTATTTATATTGCTATATATTTGTATGTTGAATTTTAATTACACTAGCTTACCCTTTTGTTGTCACCATGATGTTGGACTGCAATGATCATACTATGTATGGGAGCAGAGCAGGGATAGGTGGGTGTCTGGTGGTGATTCTCCGGTGGACCCGTGGAGCTGATTGCTTTTGTGATTATTTTGCTGTGTAGCTACTTGTGATAGTAGCATTTGATTGTAATTTCTTTTGTACACTTTAACTCTGTTCAGACTGGATCATGTATATGTATATTCTAGACTCTATATGTATACATTTGTTCTCTTCTGTGCGGTGTTTCTAGTGTACTGTTCCGTGTGTAGGGACCAGCCGAGTCGTTACACTTTAGTGGTATCAGAGCAGGTCGAGTCTAGTGGACACTCTTTGGGGGTGGTCCCTTTAGGCTTTTTGTTGTGTTGACTCTGTGCTGTGTTGTTTTGCTGTGATGTCTGCTGTGCTGAAATTGCTGTGCTAAAATTGCTGTGATGATTTGTTGTGCTATTAACTGTTGTGTGGTTTAGTTATTGTTTACCAAAGATGCTATTAATTTTGTAGACGATGACTAGGACCAACGAGCAGATAGCCCGTGCCATAGAGATGATGGCCATGGCTATGCAACAACAAAATGCCTATTTTGCTAGGATGGAGGCTGAGAGAGCTGCAGCTGGTGCAGCAAGACCTACAGGGTCACAGGAGAGCCGGGATCTTGCTGAGTTTCGGAAGTGTCATCCTCCACAGTTTGCAGGAGATGCGGATCCAGAAGTAGCTGATCGCTGGATCCGTGAGCTAGAGAAGCTCTTTACTGTACTGGGATGTCCTCCAGAGAGGAGGTTAACATATGCTGGGTACATGCTTGTTGGGGGGGCTGAACATTGGTGGAGAGGCACCTATCAGATGCTTGCTGCTAGGGGAGGTGCAGTTGATTGGGAGTGCTTTCGGACAATGTTTATGGAGAAGTACTTTCCGGAAAGTGTGAGGCATGCCAAGGAGGCAGAGTTTATGCGACTGCATCACGGAGGGATGACAGTTTCTGAGTATGCGATGAAATTCGACCACCTGGCTCGTTTTTATTCGCAAGGTATAGCTGAGGCCTGGAAATGCAGGAAATTTGCTGATGGGTTGAGATATCAGTTGAGGAGGGTGGTGGTACCTATGGCCATCACTGAGTTCCCGACCTTAGTGGAGAAGGCAAAGGTGGTGGAGCGGTTGGAAGGTGGAAACCGTGCTGTGAGGACTGCTGGGGGGCCATCTGGGTCCAAGAAGGGTGAGAGTCAGAGGAAG